AAAATATAGGGTCAATTAATAATTTATTTGTCTAGTAGGGGTCTACATTTTTTCAAAAATTGCGTGCCGATTAGCACGCAAATCTTGTATGTTTAAGGGATAATAAATTGATCAACATTTAGACGGATCATCAATTAAAATTTAATACATGTATCTGAATAATTTAAATATAATAAAAATTACACCTAAATTATCAAATAAAAAGCCAACTGACACAAACTACAGTATACAGATTGTGAGTTTTGTTGAATCAAACAATGTCAAACTTCTGGTCTTATTTGGAAACCCTGACCTGGAATCTTTGATGTTTCCCCTAATAGAAAGGGATGCTATGGGTACATTAAAAAATACCACCTTCAATAGATAGCTAGGTCCTGCTTGTGTTGGTACTAGCCCACATTGATGCTTGAGAAAAGAAGAAATTTTCAAAATTAGAACCAGATATTGGCCACCAAAAATGCAAACATCCATCAAAAACCACAACCTTGCCTTCGAATTTCCTTTTTAAAAAAGAAATAAATGTGTAAACACATCTACCTGCACTATTGAAATATGTTGTAATAAGTTGTGGAAGGACCCTGGGATGGTGAATTAGGCATTTCTTCAAACATGAAAAATTTCAAAACTATGGAATGATCCACATGCATTGCTTTACCTACACAATCCATGCAGATGTTCCTAATCTGATCATGGAAAAAACATTGTACAATTTGGTCATGAAATATGAGATTATGCCATTGTAACCATCAAATGGAGAATCATGTTCCCTCAGCCACAATCAGTTCCAAAATCTCAGGTATGAAATTATTCAACACCAAAGATAAAAAAGGTAAGGTGATTGTTCAATGAATGCCACTCATTCTTTATGTTTTGCTAGATACACAGTTAGCCCTTTTTCTTTTAACACCTTGTGTAGAGATTGGACCTGTCTAAAAAAACTTCACCTGGGTGACCCACGGGTTTACCCGACAGGTCAACTGGGTAGTGAATAGATCTTTCTATATATGGATTTAATTTACATAAATGATAAAAAAATAATTTTATTTTTTTATTAATTCCAAACTTTACAATATAAACTGTTTGAATTATTATTTATAAAAATGATTTATAAAAATGAATTATAAATCAGACATAATGTTAAACATCATTGTGGTATATATTATATGGAAATTCGCATTCAATGTTCTTTTTCAAAAACATTAATATATTAATATGTAACAAGGCAACTCTGACAATACTGTTGACTAAATTATTATTTATAAGAGGTTGGATAATCTATATGTTAAATGTCATTGTGACATTACACAAAATCCAAAAAACAAAAATAATTCATTAGTATGTATTAATATGTAACAAGACAACTCTAACAATATTGTTGATAAAATCATTATTTATAAGATATTGGATAATCCGTATTAAAAATGTTGATAATACATATGAAATGTAAAAAAAATTGAATTATAAATCAGACGTACCATTGTGTTGCATTCATTCATAACCTGGTTGGACCCAACCTGGGTCCAATCTCTAACCTTGTGATGAAGGTTGCAGCAAGATTAGAACAAGACTTGCTAGGATGTTTTACCATGTATTGAGAAAGATTCCCCTAAGATACAACAAAACAATAAATTCACTTAAAATAACTACCTAAAACAAAAAGAACTCCATTTCAGAGGCATATGCAACAATATTAAGATTGCTTTGAGAATCAAGATCTATGTTTCATCAGCTGGTAACATTGAAAAATCATCAGATGGAAAATACACCTACTTCTTTTTGATAGGTTTGGATAGTCCTTCAAATCAAAAGAAAAGAATACCCTACTTGTGTTGTAGGAAATTGGCAAAGACCATACACTCATCTTTGAAAGTGAGGAAGATACAAATATTGATTTTTTCAGATAGTGCACATGAGGCTGAGCTACAGAAAATCAATGCCATTATAATAAATGAAATATCTATCGTGACAATGATCTGCTCACCTTCTCCTGAGTTCACAATAATAACTACATTGAACTCAACACATATAACACTCTTGATCTTTTTCTTTTTGGTATTGGTATGTTGATATTAATATGACTCACATCAACCAATCCTTTCTTTTCTAGAACTTGCTTTCAATATCAGAGTCACTAACTATTTTAAAAAAAAATTTTAGATCAATTTATAAGAATCTAATTTTTATTTTATTAAATAATTTTTTACCATTATTTTCTGAATCACTTATTGAAGCATCATTGTTTTTCTTGAGTTGTATTTGTTTTTATCATTGTGGAAAAAATCTATTTCCTGGCAATTTTTTTTTATATCAACAAAATAATTAGTAATGATCAGTGGGATGCATATCACAATAAATATAATTCAAAGTTCACCTTCATTTCTGCTAGAGTTTCTCCATAAATTTGCAATGCAAATTCTTATTCAAATTATTCATGATACACAACTTGATCTTATTTTGAATTATTCATTTTTACTTTATTCAGATTATTCATTTTATTTTGAATTATTCATTTTATTTGAATAGAACTCTAGTTCTGGTCAAGGGCAAGGTTTTCTTTCCAGCTGCACATGTACTATTATAGCAGGAGAGTGGTCAATTGTCTCAGTTTTCTTTCCAGCTTTGTATGCTCCAAAAAGGGCCCCAACTAATAGTTAAACCATTAATTATCAGAAAGGATTATGAATCAATCACACCAGCTTTATTAATTAATTTAAAAAATTGAAGGAAACTTTTAAGTGTATTTATACTTCTTGAAATATTACAAACAACATGATTTTTTACATGAATTTATCCAATAAAATATAATAAATAGAATGGTTAATAATGAATGACTAATCTTAATTATTAATGTTAAATTCCAAAATGCATCATTGATGATGTCATGATATAAAATGAAATTTTTGACAACAATCAGGATCTAATTTCTGTTTTTCATTAAAAAATAAAAGCAAGTTTATATAAAATAAAAATGAAAATTTTTGACTAACCATGAAGAAGTGGCTCACCTTAAACTACTGTATATGCATTATCATTTGATTCATTTTGTTTTTTTTTGGCCTATTCATGATATGTCAAAGACATAATTAAACCTGACTGAATAATAAAAAATGATAAGGTTTAACAACTTGATGGGTATAAATTTATTCATTTATTTGAAAGACTTGTTGCAATATCTCCATGGAATGAAATCATTCTCAAAAAACATATCATCATTTGCTACTTGTTGCTACCAATGTTATTGTTTAATGTTGCTATAATAATAATTTTTTTCATAACAATTACTGATTGATGGATTATTTGAGCCTTTCATATATTAATATGAGCCTTTCCCATCTTTTAAACATTAAAAACATTAGGGTAGAGTGTGGTCACGTGATTTTACATAGTAATCAAATCAATTTTTACTGTCAGACAGATAATAAAAATAATCTAAAATTGAATAGATAACATCTATTTACAATTTAACATTTGTCACTAAATAAATAAAATATTGGTTAATACAATATTATCACTACTAAGGTTGCTTGCCAAAACCTCTTAATGACTGCCAAAACTCTAATAAACAATTAGTGTGCACCCTGCCAAAAATCTGTTAATTGAGTTTTGGCAAGCAACTATAGTCACCAGACAATTATCAACAAAAAGATTTTGCTGTGTTTCTTTATTTATTCTCAATAATGAGTTGATTGATTGTCTTCATAAAATACCCTCATTAATGTTGTTGATATAACTCCATAAAGAATGGGTAAAAAAATAGTATATATGGGAGACATATGATTACCTTATTTATTATCTTGTTATTCTTGTTATTGACTTCTTTCAACTCATCTAGTTGATAGTAACTAAGGCTCTGAATAAATCAAATTTTAGTGATTTGATTTGATTCAATTCATTCTGTAGTCAATTTGATTCATGACTCAAATCAAATCAAATCAAACCCCTAAAAAAATTTTAATGTCATATTAAATACAGTGAATCTCAATGTAGTGTACCTCAATTTAATGAATAATAATGGATTGAGGTTTAATAATAATAATAATAAAATTCTTCTTAATATAACTGATTTCTTGGTATAGTCACAATTACAATGGATAGATGGAACACATAACAGTATGGAATCAATACAGAATTTGTAAGGTACTGAAAAGGTTCCATATTTAAAGTACAGAATATGTGACATACTGAAAAGGTACTAATTTATTGCAGTATATTATATTGCACACATCTGGAATGAAATCATTCTCAAAAAACATATCATCATTTGCTACTTGTTGCTACCAATGTTATTGTTTAATGTTGCTATAATAATAATTTTTTTCATAACAATTACTGATTGATGGATTATTTGAGCCTTTCATATATTAATATGAGCCTTTCCCATCTTTTAAACATTAAAAACATTAGGGTAGAGTGTGGTCACGTGATTTTACATAGTAATCAAATCAATTTTTACTGTCAGACAGATAATAAAAATAATCTAAAATTGAATAGATAACATCTATTTACAATTTAACATTTGTCACTAAATAAATAAAATATTGGTTAATACAATATTATCACTACTAAGGTTGCTTGCCAA